CTTATCCTAGCTGGGTTTAAGCAGGTGTAAAGTGCGGTGTAACAAACTTACTGTATGTCCATCGCAGGCCTCGTCCTGATCACCACACGGTAGTTAGCGTTCGAGTAGAGCTTAAGCGTGCGAGACGAGGTAGCGAACCGCTCGCCGTCCACTTTGAATGTCATGTCCGTCCGTTGGAGACTGATGCACTGAAAGCACAGTTCGACTTCGAAGCCGTTCATGCTTCGATGGTGGTGGTGGTCAGTGCTGGTCATCTGTGTTTACCAGCGGACGTCAGGGTCCATTCGCCGCAACGGTCGGTTCGCAGCACTATTTAGGTCCAGAGAGACGACCATTTGTGAGTGAAGCTGAAAACTTGGTCGTAAAGAATGTACAGCGTCTGCGTCAGCGCTAGACCATCGGATCGATCGAGCCACCAGTATGAGCTATTAAAACTCAGCAACGGTGTCGCTCGTCACCAAAACGCTGAAACAGACAGCTGCAAGCAAACAAGCAAGGAACACACAAAATGACTTGAAGACTGACAACACAGATTCTTTTCACCTTGTGGATTTCGTCTTTGAGCTTGTAGAAAAACTCGTCTCTAGCTGACCAATCAGATGAGGGCATCACAGTTTCATTCCCACCTTCCCGTTTGCTGGAACGTTCTACGCAATTAGTCGTTTTCAATTTATTGTATGCAGCCGATGCTGCTTTGGCTGATGCCTGTATCTTGGTCGATACACCTGCCTACGTTGCAGATGCTATGTTATCAACCGACGCAGATTAATCGCTGTCATTTGCAATTTCTCAACCAACGACACCAATCCGATATTCAAATAGTGCGATATCCGATATTCAAATAATATTCTCCTTTCGAAGGGGCAAATCGACTGATCGTTTTACTTTGCTGCGACAATATTTTGTCATTGTAGGAGCTAATGAATTTCATTTTGGTCTGTTTCCAGATGTCCCCTGTGCAGCATCGTCCAGATATCCGATTTAATCCCTTGCCAAGAGCACAGTTTTTTTGCATTTGTTTCGCTATCCCTATTTGTCTTCCGCAAAAAAGGTGGACAGCACGAAAGTTCAGTAAAATTCTTCTTCTGGTCAGGACGCCATGATTATCGGCCCTCTACTTCCGACTGCCAGTCCGGTGTTCCTTTTCATTCATAAAACTAAATGAATGAAATCATTACGGTCACCAGTCAGCCTCCTCCTACGAGTATGCAATTACATTTGGTAGTACTCCCTTCTTCAGCCGGTTACCATTTAGCCCATTATGCATTTCGAGCAGGGAATACTACATTTATTCTGCACTGGTCCTCCCAGAATTGTTTCATGTTGCACACGTTAGAAGTAGTCTATTCTATCTGTCTTAGGATGTTCTTAATCTAACGTCTCATTGCGAACAAGCATTCGAGGAGGTGACCAATAAGGGCAGCCCTTTTCACCTATTAAATATGAATTTTACATAGTTCCACAGTTCTATTACTTGCAGAATTTCATCTCCGTGATAAAATCTAGTGGACAGCTCCGCTACGGTCTCCATTTATATTCTTACAAATATCACGTCAGATAGACGTAGCGACTTTTCATATCCAGTATCTGTCGTCCTTCGTTCAGAAAATGAAAGCCAAGGCACACGGATTCAAGTAACTGCACTCGATCACTGCGATATAACAGTTATTCATTCCTTAAATCATTCATCCAAGGACAAAACGGCCTGGCATGATTGCGCTCGGCGTGTGGGAACTATGAAGAATCCACACTGAAAGCCCGAGCAATCTTTGAATCTTTGAAATCATTCATAATTCACCCTACTTATTCATAATAGATTTGTCTAATCATTCATTCTTTAGTTCGCTCATCTGTCCTCCCACCCACTCATCCGTCTGTGAAGGTTTCAAGATCAAAGGCTTTTTCAATGCACCAGCGTCAGACCGATAGTCCGGCAATTATGTTATGAACAGCATCGGCTAAAACTGATAATCGCGCGTGCGTATGTCACGCTGTTCACTGGAACATGACAGATAAAAAGTAGCTATCACAGATGAACAATAAAAAGCACGAGTCGTATAGTAAGTTTAACTGATCAAAGATTAAGCTTCCACTTCGAACTTTAAGGATTTCGAACATTTGAGGTGAGAACTGCATCGACATCTCGAAAGATTCGTGTCGAGGGAGCAATTACCTGGTAGTTCAGTGCATGCAAATGGCGTAACATACTTCGGCATGGTGCTGGTGGCTCGTACCATAATAATTTTTCACGCTGCGATTTGAAAGCATCAATTAAAATGTTATTTGCCAGTCACAGAGAGACGTCATCTCTCTTTTCTACATGCAGAGTAATTTGAGTCCATTGCGTGCTTCCGAACTTAGCTAGTTCTTTGAGGGATCGTTTAGGAGGCATTCAGTCATGAATGATCACATAAACAAACTGCATGTTGAATCAAAGACTAGTTGCGGTGCACGTGCAAAGCGGAAAAATGTTTGCTTATATGAAAGCTTTAGTTGCCACTTGTCCAACTTTTAAAAATCCAGATCTTTTCCTTCTCACGTAGTTAGAGACTTTCTAGCATTCAAAGCAGAGCAGGACAGTGAAAATTGCAATGAATCAGCAAGCCAAGATATTCTACTGAGTTCCAGCGAACAATAAGATTTGTGAGATCAGGGTGTATGAGATGTTAGAAATGTTCATATTACTCATAAAATAACATTTCGCAATAAACATACGACCTATGCTCAATAATTCTGAAATATCTTGAATCTGTAAACGATTTATTCCTCGATCTGTCAATCTAAGTCTTTACCTATAGTGTTGTTCAACTAGGGAAGGTTGTTTTAATAAGATGTTGTGATTTCTATGGTTTCTGTTACTCTGGACTGAATGGAAACGTTTCAGTTTGAATCCATAGCAGCCTTTCGCAGATGCTTTAGCGACGTTCACGACTGAAGTCCAAATTCTACGAGGTAACCGATTCTGTAATGCATCATTGTCCACATATGGCAATCAGCGTTGTGTTTTTGGTGATTTCCGTGCATGAACTATTAGGAGAGTAGTTATCAATCCCGACCCCTGTTTCAACAGTTGCGAAAGACGTTTGAATGTGTTCTCAGTGGTATTCAATAATAGTCAGAATTTTGAATGAACTTTTCTTATAGTCTAACTTAGAGTGCGTGGGCCATTTCTGTTAAATTAGACTCATATGCTGAGGCAAGGCCAAATGACATCTAGCCCGCCATGGAATTGGTTGCAGATCATCCATGAGATGTGCGGCTTACCTGCCAACTGAGAGGGAGTATGAAAGAAAGTACTTTCGGGCTACATACAGTCGAGCGATAATGCTGGTTTAAAACTAACAAATATGGCCAGTACATACGGCGATGAAGTAAGATTGTTGTCAGATTTTAAAAAGTAGTAGCTGATCAAAAGCCCCAGCGAAAAAATATGTCTGTCATTAGATCAAGTCATTCCCACACTGGTCGATTCACAGATTTTGGACAACCGTTTCAATTGCCAGATTCAGCAGATATTTGTGCACTTTAGTACAGGCATGAGCACTAAAGATAGTGTAATTCCGTTATGTATTATTAGGCTGGCCATGGCAGCTCTTTTTATTATTTTTGCTTTTCTCCGCATCGTTGTACCGACAAGAAAAATTCTTGTATTGCTTTGTTTGGACAGTGTAGCTTTCGAAATAATGCAAACAGACGAAGGGAGTCAACACAGTGCTCTATGAGGGCTAGTTGAATGGAAGATGAACGCAATGCTCTAATTTGGAGTTGATGAAGACACCGACGGTTATTTCTATGAGCCATCTTTCTCCCTCACAATCGATATCTCTCCTGCCATACACTATGAACAAAGTTTAACGGTATTAAGTGTTTAGCGACCTGTCAGATGGATCATCTGTTTCAGGTACTACAAAGGCTGGTTTTAAACTATACAACGGTTGGGGCGTATTTTTAGGACATATTTTGTTTTACTACATTTAATTTCGCTTAGCCCGTGAATTCTCACCGTTCCGCTCTATTAACAGCGCAACGTAAAGGCTTAAAGGAAAGTTGTTCAAAAGCAAAAGGTTTATTAGAATGTCGCTAATTTTTCCAATTTACTCAATTATTTATACATTATGAGTCCTTCCAAACAAGAAATGGTGCCCAGTCTTCCACATTTGCATTTTTCTGCGAAATAGAGAAACTGTTTCAAATTATCGATATTTTAGTTGTATGATGCGCTCATCGAGACAGTGTCTGAATGTACATTTCCATTAGCTAATTTATTTGATTTCATCTGCATTCACAATGATTTATTGATCGATCGTCACAGAAAGCAAGTAATTCCATGAAATCGGCAGCTTATGCGCGAAGACTGCTTTCTTATTTTTGATTGCCCTGCCAAATACCCCTGGGGAGGCTAAAAGTAACCTGAGGGCAAGTGCCTCGACGGACTTTACTCCACACGGGGACATCGTTTGACTGTTTCCGCAGATCGGTCAGCTAACAGCTGTGGTTCGCTCTACTTGTAGTACAAAGAGTAGACAAGTAAGACACTCAGCTAAGTAGAATTGAGGACGCTTAACATGTGCATGGTAGACAAACCAATAAAACCCTATTAGTCGCCCCAAGGTGGATGGCTTTCAATAAAAGACACAAAGCTGATGGGGAAAATAGGAACTGTCAAAACGAAGATTTAATTTATGTCACCAAAGTCTATATCCAAACTGATACTCTTTGGCATCAATACTTCTGATAAACGGAGGCGGAAGTATGGGCAATTTGCTTGTGCCTCTACCATGAACAATCTTTGGATGGTTATAAC